GTACATGTGTGGCGTAATAAAGTTCTGGCTCTGTGCAAACACACGCAGTACCAAACAGCGTGGAAGGATCAAAAAGCCTTGTATGAGGGGCTGATGGCTCCGGGAAGGACCTGTAGGATGATTTTGTTTTTAACCTCTTTGGACCTACTGGCTAAAAACTCAGCGTTCCCATACTTGCATATAGCAGCACACAGACCTAACACATTCGTTACGCTTGTTGGCCGCAGCAGTGAGAGTGTTACAGTGCCAAGTGGATCCCAAGGAGGAAAATGGGAGTGGGTTCTGCTTGCTGAAGGGTCTGCAGGAGGTGGTTGGGTGCTGTGCTGCTCTGCTCAGCTCTGGGGCACACGTGGGAAGGCTTCATGGGCAGCAGTGGGAGCAGAGGTTGTGCTCATGGATGGAGCTTGCATCAGTCTCGGCTGCAAGGGGGGAGGTGGGGTTGGGATTAATGAGATGTGAAAGCAGAAGGGAAGAGAGAAGTACAAGGCTTGGGATGCAGTCATAATTATTGCTCTTTTTTAATAAGAACTATGGATGCTTATCATCCCCGGCACACAGCATTGTATGAGGTGCCCACGTCTGAGAATTGCTCTTTCCTGCCTCGCTGTCAGGGTCACAGCAAATGAGTGACAGATCCAAGAACAGCACCTGGGGGTCCTCACCCCACTGCCACCGCCTCGGGCAGGGCGGGGGGCAGCGCTGAGCTGCAACCCCCAGGAGATGGGGGACCACGGCAGGGATGTGCAGGAGGCAGCTGAGATGCCTGGAAGGGAGAAGCAGAGAGCTGGAGCTGAAAAGATGAAGGACCTCATTGAACCTGAAGTGCCTCATTAAGTGCAGCACAGCTCGTGCGTGCACAACGGCAGATTTTTCGGGAGATAGGCGAAAAGCTCAAACGGGGGAGGGGGTGGGGAGAGATGGGAAAAACACTTCCAAAAAACCACTAAAATTTCATAGTAGGATGTGTAAGGAAGAAGATTAATTATGCTGTGCTTACAGGCATCGTGCGCCATCCCTTTTAGAGCCGTCTGGCTGCTGTGTAGGGAAGCAGAGCTGTCTGCTCTCCCTGGCTCCTGACTCTGCAGTGCCAAACGCTCTGTGCCTCAGTTTTTCCACAGCTGAGCTGAACGTAATAAGTTGCTATCTCAGAATCTTTGTGCACGGAATCGTAAGGCAGCAAACATCCACGGGGCTGGAAGCGAAAACAAGGGACAGCTCTGCTCGTGCAGGAAACTGATGTGGAAATTCACCTAAAGCAGGGATACGTTCAGGAATGTGGGAACAGCGGGTTGGTTTTGCCCAGTTCTTGGTACTTGGGGGTGCTGCGATTCCCTGGCTCCCAGCAGTGAAATAAAGCAGTGGCACTCTGGCTGCAGGGAAAAGAGAAAGGGATGTGGGGAAAGGCATCGTTTCAGCGTGGTTTAGTGGGCACAGAGTTGGTGGGCTTTTCCAACCTGAATGGCTTGGAGAGCTGCCCTCTTGAGAACAGGGTGACTGAGGAGCTCCCTTTCTGGGGGGTGGTTTGCAGCCTGGATTGTCAGTTTGGTCCACAGCTTTAACCCAGAGAATCCAAGCTGGGAGCAGGAAAAGAAGTCAGAGCAGTGCTGGCAAACAGAATGGGGATCTGAGAGAGCAGGGGGAGAGCCCAGGAGTTGTGCCTCGTAGCCAGAAGACACACAATGCAGAATGATTGCTTTTGCTAATGGAAGGGTCATCTTTGGTGTCTGTTAGTGCCATTTTGTGCCAGAGGTCGCAGGCTGCAGCTGGGAACTTGGAGCCTTTGTTCCGTGATGCTGGTGTTCCCAACTTGGAATGATTGGATAGGTGAGAAAGCACGCAACTGTTTGCATTCTATTTCTGTTAGTTTTATATATGCTCATGGCAGCTGGTGGCTGGCAGTGCTGGTGGCTAGCAGCAGCTAGCTGTGCTGGGGAGGAAGGGAATGCAGGGTGGGCATCTGGAGCCTGGCGTGGACATGTTGGATGTTACCCTGCAGACATAAGCATCACTTGGAGATGATCAGTGGCTCACCAGTGTGGTATAATCACCAGAGACGTGCCAAGCACTGGGCCATGGATCACTCTCCAAGTGACAGTGCACTCTTATGCGTGTGCTACGCCTGCCCAAGGCCCCCGGTATAAATCCTCTTGCAGTGGGGCAGCACGCCTTCCTTAAAGCATATATATGTACACAGGGGTGCCCTAAGTGTGTCACATCACCCCGTTATTGATGGGCACCATCAGCCCTCCGCAGGGCCACTTGCACTTAGCAGGAGAAAACACTCGGTGAAGCTGAATAGCACTCACTGTGATCCCACCCTGCAGCTCCCCAATGCTTGTTGGCCTTCTCATAGACAACTCCAGCATGCACAGCCCCACCATGGGATGGTATTCCCAGTGTGGAGCCAGGGAAGGCTCTGGGAGGCAGAGGCTGCAGTCAGGGGAGGGGGAAGGATGAAGTGAGGTGATGTGGATGCAGAAGTGCTGCAGAGAAAAGCACTCTTCCATCAATGAGCGCAGCAAAGAGAAGGCAGAGCTCCTGACTGGCACGGTGGGGATGGGTGGGTGGTTGGACCAGGTGGTCTTAGTGGGCTTTTCCAACCTTAACAATTCTGTGATTCTGTATTAATGGCACGGAGTGGCTGAGCATCCAGAGCTGCGTGTGCAGGGACACAGATGTGGGTATCCGTGGCATGGGATGTGATCAGTGGGCATGGTGGGGGTGAGTCCATGGTCGGACTGGGTGATCTTACTGGTCTTTTCCAACCTTATTGACTTTGTGATTTTATCAGTGCACTTATCTGCAGGAGCGTGGGGTTTGCACAGCCCTTGGCAAGCACGGCTGGAGATGCCAGACATGTTCTGTCGTCTGGGGCTGTCAGCACTTCTTTTGAAGTTGAGCAGATGTTGGTGCAAACGTTCCGGGGACACCGCCGAAAGAGATGCTCTGAATGCAGAAAGCCATCAGGCTGACATATGGAAAGGTCCAGGGATGTTGGTGTGGTTTATGTGTGAGCTGCCATGTTTAACAAAACAATTAGCATCACTAACGAGCGTTTCAGCATCAGAGAAATTAGAAGGATGTTTCCATAGCTTTTAAATGAGTCTCAGTGCTTCGTGCATTTCCACCCCCTGGCCTGGAAATAGTTGGAAAATGGAAGGGGGTGAAGCATCACCTGAGTGAGGAGCACCTGCAGCTGTGGACACCCTCGTTGTGCAGGTGGGGAGGGGGCTTAGGAAGGATGCAATGCAGAAGGGATTTGTGTAATTAAAGATGGAATAATCATTCTCTCTGCCTTCTCTCGCTGCATAAAATAGGACTGAGACAGAGGGGCTGCTGGCGATCCAAGCATGGCAGCATGAAAAATGAGGAGGAGTGTGATAAGAAACTCATAATTTATGTTCCAAGCACAGACTCACACCAGCGCGGAGGGAAATTTGTGCCAATAACTCCTACTAACTCAGAAAGGCACGCAATCTTTTATTGCACAAATTATTAACGACCAGAAAATGAATGGCTCTGTAATCAGAGCGGCGCTGCCGGCGCTTTGCTGCTGCTGCTTTTATTTGTGTAAGTGCTGCAGCCGGTCCAACCCCGAAGCATTGCCCTCCACGTGCTCTGCACTGGTACAGGGTGTGCTGGGATGGAGCATCACAGCCCTATAGCTGGGCCAGGGGAGCCCCTGCTTGCATGGTATGAGGTGAGAATCTGGTTTATTCAGATGAAGCCCACGTGGCTGTGAGGTTTGGGGTGTCTTCCCCACCAGCACGGTTGCATCCTGTGGTGTTGAGTTCAAATCTCTAGGTGATGGGAATGAAGAAAAGGGGCACGGATGGAAAATGAAGTCCCTGAAAGAGGGAAGAGGACGACGTGGGGTTTAGAATCATAGAATAGCTCAGGTAGGAAAAGACCTTAAAAATCATCAAGTCCAACCATAACCTAACCAAACTACCCTAGAGTTTGCTGTGGCTCAGCCTGCATGACCTGGCTGGGCTCACTGAGCCCTGTGCTGGAGGTGTGAGGGGTGAAGCTTTGTCCAGGAGCCCCATTTTCATTGTGTGAAGCATATCATAGAATCACCTGGGTTGCAAAGGAGCACAGTGCTCATCCAGTTCCAACCCCCTGCTATGTGCAGGGTCACCAACCAGCAGCCCAGGCTGCCCAGAGCCACATCCAGCCTGGCCTTGAATGCCTGCAGAGATGGGGCATCCGCAGCCTCCTTGGGCAACCTGTTCCAGTGCATCACCACTCTCTGAGTGAAAAATATGCTAAAGAAGTGCTCCTATTGTTAACTCAGTCCGTTATCAACAGCACTATCTCCCAGATGGCTTCATCTGAATAGGGAGGAGGGGGAGAGCTGCCTCCCCCCCCCTCCCCTTTTGGTTGAGGGGGTGTTGCTGAGGGCTGCAGTAATGAATAATGTTTTCAGGGACTGTCAGGGTTTCATTACTGCTGGTTGTCTCGTACTGAACTCCCAATCACCACGGAACCATGCGTCTCCAATTGCCTCACAGCTCTCTGATGAACATACTTGTAATCTCATTGACCCGCCGCTCTGCTGCCACGCATAAATCCAGATTTGGAGATCTCACGTCCAGTCATAAACGGGGCTGGCAGACTTGTGATCAACAGAATAAAGCTGTCTGCTGCCAGGTGGGTGTTTTATTCTCATGGTGGAGGTAGGGCAGCTTTTTGGAGAGCTTAAGCAGCAGGGGAAATCAGAAGCCTGCAGGAGAGGAAAAAGGTAAAAGAAGGTGGTGTTTAAATGACATTAACGTTGGACGTGAACATGGAATGTGGAAAATCGTGAATGGAGGGCTGAAATGGAGAGACATGACTGAAAAATAGAAGAGTTTGGGTGGTGTTTTTCAGACATACAATTCTGGGTGCAATGCTGTGTGTTTTCTGGTGTTTCCATCCTTTTTGCTTTTTCTCCTTTGACTCGGACGAGCAGCCCATAGGAAAGCTGTCTCATTCCTGCCCCCCTCCTTGTTTTACAGCATTCTGTTTGGATTCTTTGCCCTGGAGGCAATTGATGACCTTTCTTCAGCTCCGTGTCAATCTGGCCATGCAGGGAGACTTCCCCACACTGACACCAGGTGAGGATGCTCGTGCAGAACCATGCAAACAGCTGGCAGGAGGGAATGCTGCCACGCACCAAGTGCTGTTACTGCTCCATCCCTGTTATCCTCCTGAGTGCTGTCAGATCAGCAGACAGCTTTGGACTCCTTTCCCCCCCCCCATTGAGAGCTTTCTGTCCTCGCAGTGTATTTTTGAGGGCCTCTGTTTTCACAGCACGGGGATGGATGGACTCCTAAAATATACAGCCAATTACACAGCAGAATTTATTAGACTTTATTCTGGTGAACGTTACGTGGTGGGGGTGGGGAGGAAAGCTCAAACTCCGGTAGGAAACCCATAGCAACTGCAGCTGTAAGTGTGAGGATGAGAAGCCCCCATAAATACACCTGACTTCGCCATCACTGTTAATTAAATGCACGTCATGAAACACGGGCACAGGGAGCAGCAATGCTCGCAGGCACAGCAAGAGCGAGGCTGCATGGCCTGGGGCTGAGCTGCAGAGCACAGCCAGGGGGGTTAGAGCCATGCAGGTGATTGGGAGAGCCCTTCCCAGCAAGGCAGAGGGGTCTCTCCAATCAGTTAGTAACATTTCTTGCTTTGTCTTCTCATCTTCATGGGTTCCATTGTAATGATGCGGCGTGCTGCACTGCTCCGCTGCGGTTTCTGTTCCTGTCCCAGATGGGTGGCAGAGGAGAACTCAGCACTGATGCTAAGAGGGAAGTGGGGCATAGGAAGGGCCCGTCCCACTCAGCTCTAAGGGTGAAGCTCAGGAGCCTCATGCTATGTTTTGTTCCACTTCTGTAGTATTCTCCCCTCCAAGTGATGCACCAAAATTTGGCTTCTAGGAGCAGCGATGCACGGTGTCCTCCCAGAGGTGTGTGGTCCAGAGAGACCAGGATGAGGTTCTGTGTTAATGCAGCCCTACCTCATTTTTTCCCCCTTCTTATGAAGCATTTTTCCATTCCCAGCTCTGTTTCACCTTTGGTAATCTCCCTGGCATGTACTCCATCTGCACTCCTATGGGGCTGCAGCGTGTAGGAAGTAAAGCCCACAGTTCCATCTAATATCTTCTGACTGGTTTTAACCATAGCATTTCCCATTTAATTGGGAAGGCAGGCACACTTTGCATATTAACACAGCACAGCCTGCACCTCCTAAGAATTCAAAGCAGAGATGGCTGGGATGTGCCTTGCAGCAGCTGGGAACCTGCTGGGTGTCTGTAGCATCTCAGGGAATGGGATCTGTGCAGCAGGGCTGGCTTTTGCCCTCCTGGTGGATGCCCACTGGATAAAAAAAGGTACTCTCCCCTCAAAAAATCACATGCATTTCCATCATTTAAATAACTGGTCTGCAGACAGTGCCACTGTTGCTTTGCTGTTGTGTCCATTGTTTTCCTTAGAGCAGAACACTGCTGGTCTCATTGTCTGCTCAGGGGAAAATACCATCTTCCCTCCAAAGCTCTTGGTTGTGTCGCTCTTTCCTCTTCTGTGATCCACCCATCCTCATGAAGGCCCCATTCTTTCCCTTCTTGCCTTCATATGCCACCCATTGCAGGGGTCTGTCTGTGCAAAACCAATAGCTTTGTCTTAATTTCACTGCGGTTTTCAGGACTCTCTTCTCCTTGATCAGTACTTGCCTTGGGACAGGCATATTCATTTGGATTGGGAGGAGGTCTCAGCAGGTCTTTTATGGTGAGAAGGCTTCCCAAGAGCAAGCTCACATACACACCTTGCCATGTGTGAGACACCACGGGCAGCTGTCACTGTGAGCTGCTTCAGAATTACTTCATTGCACGTTAGCTGTGGTCCAGAAAGACAGCAAATGTGCAGTTCTACCAAGAGGAGGTGCATGTTTTAAACTCAAGATAGATCCAACAAACAGTGTTTGCCTTATGGAAGAAGGCTGGAGCTTGCTGGCTCCACAGAAGCACATAATGATGGCCTCAGGGCACGCAGGGATTGATGGCACCCCTTGTCCTGTGCTAGGGACGGACATTCTGAGCAGCATCCACAGTAGAAGGGCAGCAGGGAATGAAAAGAGCAGTTCTTGCATTGCAACGTGCATTTCCCTGCCTGCTCAGCCCCTGCTGCTCCAGCTTTTCTGGTCAGGTAAGGATGGCATCGCGTCGCTGTCCTGCCCTGCATTTACCCACAGACTTCATAATTATGGCCTTGTTTAAAACAGATACTGCTTGTCGTGCCAGGAATGGTCACAGAGTGAGGAAGCAGCTCAGGATCCATTAAGGAACCAGAGGTGGCTACATTTATTTCTACCTGAAATTTCAATTAAGATTGCAGTGTAAAATGTGCTTCAGTGTCAGCCAAACGGAGACAGAACGGCGCTGGGTGTTGAATTTTAGAGTCTGTCTGTCAAGAAGGACCAGGTGGAGATTTTTGGGGTTTAAAGGTCCAGGGCAGTGCTGGAATCACAAATGCATGTGGTGTTAATGTTTGAAAGCTGTGTATCCCAGTGGCAGCAGGAGACCCAGCTCCATTGCACGTGGTTATCAAGGAGCTTTATCAGCAGCTGGAAGAATGGCAGAAGTTGTAGAAACATCACATATGTAACTCTCCATGGATGGAAACAAAAGGAAGATGGTGGAGGTTGGATGTTCTCCTCTTTGCTAAAGCTGGGAGGCACAGAGGGGCAGGTGGGCTCTTGCCCATTGGTTATCACTGCAAAACTCCATCAGGGCATCCCTGAAATGAAGGTGCTAAGAACCACTGGGCTTCTGTGCATCCTGGTGCTTTGCTGAATGGGAAATCTCAAACTCCTGGCTCCTGGAGTGTGCATCTTCCCATCTCCTTCCAGTTGCACCATCAGCACAGGACTATGAAATGACATCTGTGCAAAGCATGCACACACACAGAGCCATGCAGGAACATGGCAGGGCTGCAGGAGAGCAGGTTGGTGCTGCCCTGCTTGGGTGTCCCTGCACTCCTGAGCACACAGACATGCACACACCTCACTGTGGCTCTCTCCAGCCCTGTATCCATTTGATTTTACTATCCAGGCAGGAGATGAACTTCATTAGGGGAGTGGAGGCTCTAACAAGGATGGGGAATGGCAACAGCAGAAGGATGTAGCGATATAAAGTTATGTCAGAAAAACCTTTACAAGAAAAACGTCTGACATTAGAAATGGTGCATTAAAAATTCAAGAGGGTTGGAAGAGGGGCAGGAGTGGAAAGAGAGGAAAACAAATAAACACACAGGCTTTAAACTAATAAATCCTCCTATTTGGGGAATGCATCAAACCCAGCCTGCTATTAAAGTTGGTTTTATTTCTATTATTGTTAACAACAATGATAAATATATTTTTTCTTGGATCTCGACGCTGGGCTTATCTGCCTTTTCAACACACGCTCAGTGGGCTGAGCAGTCCCTCCCTTGCACTGTTTGCTTGTGGCTAATGTGCTCCCTTTGAAATACACTGTGTTGGTGCTGCTGTGTTTGCAGGCATGCAGGCTCTCTCTCTCCCACGATCCTCTTTAATATTATTCATCCTTATTATATATTGTTATTCCTTATTATGATTTATCTGCCACGCCGTGGCTTTATTAAGATTGATACCCCTGTCCCCAAGGAGCTCCCAGCATGCAGCCCCAGCTTTCTCCTGAAGCAGCAAAGTCTCACTTTTCTTCCAAGCCATAACAAGCCTCATGGCTTGGCTTCAGCAGAAGGCCTTGGGCTCGCTTGTACCAAGGTGATGCATCCAGCTTTTGTCCAGCATTGTGGTCCCATTCCACTGCAGCACCAATAGGAGCTGCTTGTTGCTGGCCAGCAGGGAACCACAGCCCTGCTTTATTCTTCTGCATCTCCATTTTCATCTTGCGTATTAGAAGAGATTTCGTTGAACTCCCTGAAAGCTGATCCTTGTGCTGGGGGGAGGACCTTCCCTAGATTGCTTCCTGACAGCTTCACTCTGTGCTGCTCTTCAAACAGTTCACAATCTGGGGACATTTTGCACTGATAGAACATCCTACGAGGCAGTGTTACATGTTGGTATGTACATGTGGGTAACAGAGATGAAGGAAGTGATGCTGGGTGCCAGTAGCATCTGGGAAGGAACCTCCTGCCTGGCTCTGGCACAGAGGTGCCCTGATCTCCAGCTGTGCTGTTTGGGGGGGAGCTGAACCCTGGATGTTCCCTTGTCTGTGTGCAAAGAGAACTGCACAGCCCCCCAAGCTGGAAGGCTGGAGCAGGGAACCCTGCAGGCTGCAACTGGTGTGTTCAAAGAAATGGAATGGAAATGGAGCTGTCTGAGGAGGAGACTTTGGAAATGCCAGTCCAGACAGCAGCTGGTAACAGGGGGAAGAAAAACAGAGAGGGAAGATCATACACCATGGAATCATTCGCATTGGAGAAGATGACTGTGATCCCCAAGTCCAACCCCAACCCATCCTTTAGGACCATGACATGGGAGCAGACATTCTTGCTCTGTGAATGGGTGTGGATCACCTATGTGGGGCGGTGGGATCACTGTGTGGGGCGCAGGAAGCCGTGTGGGTCCCTCCCTGCGTTGATTCCTGCACAGTATTTGGGTTTTGGGATCTGGCATCCAGCCTGGATGCCACAGGTTTCTAAAGCTGGCCCAGCATGACTCTGATCCTATTTGAAATGTTGGCAAAGCTCGTGTGGAATTCAGTAATACAAGAAAGAACGGGGCTTTGGAGTGCATGGGTTGTTTGGGACGGGGCTGACCTTTGTCCTCTGATGGTGACTGGAGGCTGTGGGGTGCAAGCAGCAAATTGTCACACTGTGTGAGCAAAGCAGGGCTTGGGGCGCACATATCTGCAGTGTGTGTGTGTGAGAGCATCAACAGTGTTCCCCTTCCCGAGGAGCTGCTCAGCCATCCAGCCGTGTGCTTTAGGGATGAAATACCTCCAGAGATGGCTCAGAGCTGGGGCTGCTCTGTGTCCCCAGTGGCCACCAGGTGCTGAGGAATGGCTCATTTCTGGCAGGGCAGTGCTGAGAAGGCAGAGGTCTGAGCACTCCAGCCATGGGAGCATGGATTC